GAGTTAAGTAAAAAAAATGTGTTGTTTCTAATCCTAATTACTTTTCTCCTGTTCATTACTTAACTTTCTAAAATCCACAATTTTTAACCAAATCAATCTGATATGTACATACACCTCCTATAAAAACAATACAATTCCTTTTTAGTATATTTTGGGTTGGATTAGTAACGACTTTTTCTTTAGAACCTACTTTCCTCTTTATTAGGTTGGGCGCTTTAAGCTTTGAATTTAGAATTGTGGCTATAGAGATTTTGGCTTTATAAGCACTGTTACTTTAGACAAAAATTAAAAGATTGATTGGTATCCAAAGCTTTAGAAGCTGTGGCTGTTACAAAAAATATATTTATGATTCATTTTACAAAATGTAATATCTATTTGTTTCAATTTATTTTTTATTTATACAAGTCTATAAAATATACTGAGTAGTTTAAACACACAAAATCAATCAAAACTATCACCAATATATTTTATTTTCTCATTGTAAAAATTTGAAATTATAACCAACAAATTTAATTTTATTAAATTTAAATTAAGATTACAATTTATTAAATAAAATAAAGATATTATTACAAATTAACGAGTTCTATCCCATATACTGCTTGTAATCTCATCTCGAATACCTTCCATGTATGATCCATCGTATTTGGAAGTTCTTTTTCATTTGCCGTTTGTTTTTTTTCATTTTCATCTGATTAAAAGTTAGGTTCCACAAGATTTGACTTGCGAATAATATTATGGAGAATCATGGTTGCCATCACAATTCGACGCATTGTAAAAGATGAATAAAAGTTAAAATGAATAAAAGTTATACTAATATTGCTTGACATATAAATACATTACTTTTAGAGAAGAAGATGACGACATTTCTGTAAAGATGAAATAGTTAAACTAGTTAAATATAACACTTAAAATTTTATGTATATATATACATATATTAATCATTGATAAGAAAAATAAATAGAATTAGGATATGTTGGTTTTATGTGCTTGATGAAAATGATTTTTCTTCTTGTATTTATACTAAAAAAGATCTTAAAATAACATTTTAATTTTTTTTTGAATCATTCGTAAATATTTTCAGTTATCTCTATAATATTTTTTTAGTCTTGAGCAAAATAATAGTCTAAAATAGTAAATTATGACTTTTTCTTGATGTTAAAACCGAAACTAACTAATGAAAATGAAGTTATTAATCATTATACTTATTATTTCTTTATTTTGGTAAGAAATGATGAAAAGAAAAAAAAATGTATCCCACGTTTTAAAAAAAAATAAAGAGAAAGAATGTTAGAGTCACAAAAAGTGGTTATAGAGAAAAGTGAACAAAAGACAGTTTTTTTTTTTTAAATAGGTTTTTAAGATTTTGGAAATTTCTATAAGATGTAATTGGCAAATATTTGATTTTCTTGGCTTTAAATAAACACAAAACCTCTAAAACCCATACACGAATCAAACCCCTCATTTTCGATGGTTATTGAAAAGGAAGAAAAATCCTAATTTTAATCTTACATCATAATATTAAGATCTTTCAAAATTCTTCAAATGAATATCTTGTATTTTAATATTAGTTTTATACCACTCTAGCGATTGCTAATTATTGTGATAACATATCCTACCCCACAATCATTACAAATACATATTTATATTCTTATATCGTTTGTTTGAATATTCAATCCAGTGCCAATCGTATCACACAAGGCTTATCATCTTTCGAGTTTTTACTTGAGACTCCAAACTAGGCCTAGGATTTCGGGTATTCGGGTCGGTTCCAGATAAGAACCGTTCGGGTCTGGGTTTTCGGGTATTTTAAAAGTGTATCAAATGGTTATTTGCAACACTTACGGTTCGGTTTTGGATCGGGTCCGACCGTTCCGGGTCGGTTCGATCTTTTGATACAAGTAACAATATTCAATCCGAAATAATTGAATACCCAATGTTTCGGTTTAAAAAATATGCAAATTTATACCCGAACCAATTCGGTATAAAACCGTAACCAAAAAAAAATAATAACCGAATTAAAACCGATTTAGAAAAACTCAACAGTTGAAATGAAACAAAAACAAGAACAAGAACTGATATATGTCTGAAACAAGAACAAGAACTTAAATAAAGCAAATCACAAGTTCACAACAGAAACATAAAGAAGCTGATGTCTTAAATAAGAAAAAAAACGAAATGAAACACAAATCACAACAGAAATTGATGTCTTCTTAGGTCTCAACACCAAATGACACAGTCCATACTCCATAGCCACACTCCTTATTCTAAATTGAATCCAGCTTCAAACTCTAGGATAACAAAAACAGAAATCTATAAGTGTTCTAAACTTTTAAACTCCAAGATTCAAAATTATATTGTAAAGAGTTTAAAAGAAGTGAAACATACCTCTCATATATAAGATCATCTTGTTGCTCCACATCTGAAAGTAACTGCTCTATTGTATGAATGTCTTTCTCATTGATGTGAATCTCAGATTTCAACCATTGTTCTGTGCACACCAACACCTCGACCATGAACTGTGTTAAGCAACTCATGTATGGGTCTAAGACTCTCCCACTTATGCTAAATGCACTCTCTGATGCTACAGATGATGCTTGAACCGCAAGAATATCAGAAGCTATCTGAGATAGATCGGGAGCTTCATACTGTTTCTTCTCCACCACGATAAAAAAACATACTCAGCTCCAAGTCCAGTATAACTCTTTGTAACCTCTACTTTCTCTCTCAAATAAACTTCTAACTCATTACTAGAATCTTGTGTACCTGTTTCGTGTACAAGCTCCTCGTAGAGACTGTCCATTCTTTCATATCCGATACCACTGTCTATAACTTGAGTCTGTAAAAATGCACCACTGTCTTGAATTTGGGTTTGAGAAGATGATCCACCTTACGACTGTGAACCACTGGATCCTCCACCACTTGTGCTGTATCGAAGAGTGTACTCTTCATATAAGCACGTCATGATGTCCGTAACTGAGTCAGAAAGCATAGTATACTCGATGCTTTCTTTTCCATAGAGCTTCTCAAAGCAGAGGTTAGCAAAGTTCATCTTCTTTCTTGGGTCAAAGACAGTGGCAACAATAAAAAGCTTATTCATCTTACAGCTCTTAGACTTATTGCTCTCAGACTCGGATTCTTCCACAAATGGATTCCAGTACTTCCTTATCTTCCCCATCATCGTCAAAGCTTTGAACCGCAGTGTTTCATCAGGACCAGTCGCAGAGCTTATCTTGCTGATATTCCTAGTGATGGTGACAATCTCATTGTAGATCTTGTGGGACGTGATGCCCTTTGTAGCCGAGAGCATCAAAGTCAAATTGTAAAAGATGACAAGACAGTGTACCAACCTCTCAGCTTCTTCCCAATCTTTTGTAGTTGGTGGTCCAGTCTTCTTTTTTTCCATTTTCAAGCTCCATGAAGTAGTCATTGTACGGTTTGTCTTCAGCCTCCATCTTCTTGAATGCTGCCCTGAATTTGATCGCTTGGTCTAGCATGAGATAGGTCGAGTTCCATCTTGTCTTGACTTCTAATGGAAGGCTTCCTCTAGTCATCTATCCACTATCAACCCAAAATTCAAAAGATTTGAGCCTATTGTTTGAAGACCTCACATACTACCCCATTTTGAATGGCAGCTAAGCTATCATCCACCTCATTTAACCCTTCCTTCACAATCAGATTCAATATATGTGTTGCACACCTAACATGCAAGAACTCACCCTTTGGAACCAGTGCATCTTCACCATTGTTCATGATTTTTTCCTTGAACTTCTTCATGCCAGACTTGTTAGCTGTGGCATTGTCAACTGTGATGCAGAAGACTCTTTTTATATCCCACTCTGCTAAACACTCTACAAGGACTAGCCTTTATGATTGTCAACACTATTGAACCCAATTATCATCTTTCTAAGCTTCCAATTTGAAACAATGAAGTGAGAAGTAATCACCATGTAACTAACCCCAGTGTATGGAGCAGTCCAAATATTGGTTGTGAGAGAGAGTCTTTGCTTGTTATGTCCAAGAATCTTCTTCATCTCTGCTTTCCTCGCCATATATATTGCTAAAATCTCCTTTGTGCAAGTCTTCCTGCATAGTGGCGATTCTAACTGGGCTTTCTTGCAGAAGTGTTTCAATGCTAAGCTCTCCACAAAGGCTAACAGTAACTCGCCTAAGACTATCAAATCATTGGTAGCTTCTTTGAACACACTCTTAGACACCTTAGACAGACTCAAGTTACCTTCTTCATCAGTATTTATTTGTGACTGGTCTCTGAACTTCCATGTCATGCATGCCCCACAACCTCTCGTATGCTTCCTCAGATTAGAGGTCCCAGACTTGGTTGGACAGCTAAACTCTTTCTTACAATAACGGCATTTGCATCTGTTGTAGTTGGTTGGCAGCCTTCTGTAATGGTTCCAGACATCAGACCTCGTCTTTTTCGTTGACCTAGAACCACCATCTTCTTCTCTCTCGTTCCTTTTTCCAGAACCTGGTGTTTGAACATCTTCATATGAAGATAATTCTTCACCTATTAGCTTAGGGTTGACTTCGTCTTGTTCATGAGTTGGAGACGAATCCATCTACATAGTACATACAAAAACAAGTTAACAACTGATATAAATTTTGAATAAGTTAATTTTAGCAATCAAGCATCAAAATTACAATCATACTCGACTAAAAGTCTAAGACTATTAACATTATCAAATATCAACATTCAACATCATCAGATCAAAAGTTATCAAATACGATCGAAAACTCTTCATGTATATAAACATAATACATAAACATATATGAGAAATAAAAGTATCAATATAGCTTAATCGATAACATAAATAAGTGATCAAAGTATCGAAATCATTGCTCAATGCTCACCTCCGAATGAATCCTCGAAGATGCAGACGGTTGAGAGAGAACACAGTCGATTAACGTATCCAGCTTTATGATTTCTGATAACACCAGTTGCTCTATTTGTATACAAACCTTCACAATTCTCGATTTCTATAATGGAGAAGATGAATCGAAAAGATAGTGTTCTTATTTTCGGAATTGGGGTTTATCTCGAGCTGATACACTGTACACACGCGTGTAACGGTTATATCAGGACTTTAAGACTATGGGTATATCGGATATCCGATTTGGCTCGGGTAAAACCCGGATCCGACCCGTTACCTATGAATTTTTATATTATTATCCGTTGGTTACTTTTAGCTGTACCAAAATCAATCCAAACCGGAAAAAATCGGGTCGGTTCCGTTTAAATGTCGCAGGCCTACTCCAAACCTAAAATGGCAGACGTGATCCTTGTCTCTTTGACCATTGTTCTGCCGGAAAACATAAAAAGATCCATCTAACTCCCTATGATCTCAAACTTCTTAATTTCGCTTACCCTCAAAGAGGTCTTCTCTTTTCCAAACCCGACGAGGAAACCCATATCATCCCTAAACTAAAGGCTTCACTTTCCACTGCCTTAGATATCTATTTCTCGTTCACTGGTCGTCTCATCAAGATAGACAATCCCAAAGACAATACGGTGTCGTATTACGTTGACTGCGACTGCTCAGGGGCCAAATTCATTCACGCCAAAGCCGAACACGTCTCCATCAACCATTTCCTTCAACTTCACGACTCTGGTCCCAACTTCACACAGTGTTTCTTTCCCGCGAATGATCTCAAAAGCTCTGACGGCATCTCTGAGTCTTTGCTCTTATTGCAAGTTACCAAGTTGAAAGATAGAGTTTTCATCAGTTTTGGTTACAATCACATGGTGGCTGATGGTTCTTCCTTCTGGAATTTCCTCCACACTTGGTCCTCAATCTGTCTGAACGGTTCAAGTTCTCATATTCAGCCTCTTGTTCTCAAGGACTTGTTCATCGAGGGAGTGGATTATCCTATCCATATTCCGATTCGGGAAACAAAGATAACACAAAAATTTGAAATTCCATCTAAAAAACGATTTTTTCACTTTAGGAAGAAGAATATCTCAGAACTCAAAGCGAAAACCAACAAAGAGATATGTTCTTCAGACTTAAAATATCGTCTCTTCAAGCAGTTTTAGCACATCTATGGCTATCTATTATCAAAGAGAGTCATCAAAACCGTGTAGAAGATCAGTCTCATATTATAGTAGCTGTGGATATGAGACGAAGGTTGAACCCTCCTCTTGACACAGCGTGTTTTGGTAATGTGACACACCAAGGGATGGCTACAGCAAGGGTGGGAGAGATATTGGATCATGGGCTAGGTTGGGCTGCTTTACAAATAAATGAGAAAGTGAGGTCATTAACGAATGACAATTACAAGACTTTTGCGGAGACTTGGTTCAAAAATGTTAAGCTCCCACAACCAAAGATAAGTGGTGGACCTAGAAAGGCTGATACTTATCTGGTGGTCAGAAGCTCTCCGTGGTTGGAAGTATATGACAACGATTTCGGTTGGGGAAAACCAATTGCAGTTCGATCTGAACCAAATAATGGTTTTGGTGTCTCCCTCGTAGTATTTAGAGGAGTTGAAGAAGGAAGCATTGATGTTCATGCAACCATACCCTTATCCATATGGTCTGATATTAGTGAACATATCAGCCGATATTTAAATTGTGGAAAAAATGTGAGAGCACTATATGATTGTTGGTCTATTAAAACCTTTCCGTCTATGAGATATAATATTTTTTAGTACATGTCAAAATCAAAATTTTGTTTTATAGTGGTTTGTGCTATTATCGCCAAAGTATTTCCGGTCAAATTCGAACAGAACCTACCTTTCAAATAACAAAACCGAATCAGTTTTGGTTTTAGGTTGGACTTACTTTTCACGAAGATGAATTCTTTCATATCTACTTGTCAGTTACTGAGTTACTGTTTATAAATGTATGTATAGGGGCTGGGATGACATTTAGAAAGTTGCATAGTGATGCGGCGCATCCTCATCGGTTTAGCATCTCGGTTACACACTAAACGGAGTTCGTGTAGTCCTTGTCTATTTAGGAGTTTGAGCTTTATCTTTTAGTATTAGTGGCTTAAATTTTATGTTTAGGCTTTGTTTGGAAATTCGCTAGGCGCTACGCGTGCGGTCGGGTGGCTTCTAGCGCCGAATCAATTAATCGGAAAATATGCGGGGATTAATCGGGGATGTTTTAGGATATTTTTTATCTGGTAACGTATATATTTTATCTGTTTCCTATATATATAAGAAATTTGTCTCAGTGTAGTGGTCGAGAGCTTTGTTCCCACGCCCCCAGCCTAGGTTCGAACAACATTGACCACAAATTTTATAAATTTTCTTGTATTTCTTTAATGAGGGACAAATTCATAATTAACTAATCATCTTCTTTTTTTTTAGGGTTTATAAATTTTTTTGTTTCTCGATTTCCCATCATTTCCTTGTTTTTCTTATTTTTTAGTCCCCACAATATAGATATAGTGTAGAACTTCGATTTATAGATTAAAACGAGCCAAAACTTGAGCTTTTTCATAGCATCCGATTTTTTTAATCCGATTAGACTAAAATTGCTACGGTTCCTTACCGCCTAACGTGTATTCGCTGCGTTCTCGGATCAAATCGCCACGTGTTTCTTTAGGATTATCGATGATCTCATTATATAAGAGACTTATCTCCTCTGTAAAGGTTATGACTTATTTTATTAATATACAGAGTTTTATAAACTTTAAACCTTGTTCTCATATAGATAGAGATCCGACTCTCAACAATCTCTAGAAAACATTTATTCTACGTATTCTCAGAATCAATAAATTACTTGTGTTCTACGTAGCTACCGCTACATAGTTCGCCATCATTGAGCTAATTATGAGAAATTTGTGTGTATAGAATGCAAATACACTAAATTAATTTGTGAAAGGAACATACTTGAGATAAAGTGAGAGATACGGATTTATAGAAGAAAGTGAAAGAGAAAAAGATTTGGTCATAGAAAGGGAGAGAGAGAGATGAATTAATTTGGTCCATTGGATTAAAATGTGATGAGTGGTCTAATAATGTGATTCTTGCATTTATAGATTGACCAATGAGAGATTTTAATTTTATTATTTATTTTTGTTCAGTTTTACAACTTCGTTTTTAGTTTTATACTTTTTATTTCATGATTTTATTATAAATTTATAAATTTAATTCAAGTTTGAAATTTTAAACATGTAATCTAGAATATGATTGTGTATAGTTTAAGTTTATAAATTTCATTTTTTAAAAATTTTGATTTGGTTTTTAGGTGTCCAGTTGAGATATACAACTTCTAATTTGAAGTTTGGAATTATAAAATAGTTTTGTATATAACAGTTTAGGAAATAGAGTTTATGATTATGTTTAGAGTTTAAGCTTTGTATTTTGGAATTTAAAGTTTGCGGTTTAAGCTTTACCTTAAAGGCTTGTGTATGATAAATTAGTTCTAATTAATTTAGGGTTTGAATTTTATGGAGTAACTAGATATGGATCCGTGCGTTGCACGGATTTTATTTAATGTTTAATTTTTGCGGATACATAAAAAATGAAATATTTTTTCACATTAGCCCATCTCCAATGTATTTTATTATTTTCACTCTAAAAAAACTAACTCTATAGTAAAGATGAGATATGTTCCAATATATTCCTATATAATAGCAATCTCTAAATATAGAGTAAAAATAGAGGATTGCTATTTCTTCCTTTATAAATAGAGGAAAAATAGAAATCTCTATTATAGAGGAAGAAAAGAGGTGGGTTAGAGAAATTTCACCTCCAATTTTTTAAAATAACAAGGGGTTGGAGATGCTCTCAGTTCGTAAATTTTTCAGTATATATTGGTCTTAATTTTAGTAATAATAATTTTTTTTTCTTACATAAATTAGATTGATATTTCTATTTCAATGATTATGATGTTTTAAATAATATATTTATATTTATAATTTTTTTTCAAACTAAGAATATTTGTAGTTAATTGCAATATATAGATATGTGAACTCTCAATATTATTTATATTGTTTAAGGCAAATTAAAAACAACACAATTAAAAATATTAAAACTACACGACACCAATCAATAAATATAATTGATAGTCAGATAAATATCAAATATACTGCTAAATAAAACATCAAATATGTTTATTAAGCATTTATGGTGTGATTATTGTCGTTATGTTTTAAAAATCTGAAACTATAGAGTTGTAGTGACTCTTGATAGTATGATGTATAATTGTAAAATTAGACTTGGAAAATATATACCAACCTTTTAATGTTTAACATTAACTCTTGTTGATAGTCATTGCATAACAAACTCATATAAGAAATTAACGTCATTTTAGTTTGAAAGGTCATCTTATATATGCTAGTATGAGACTTATGTTAGGAATAAAAATCTGTTTTTTTTCATATAACTTCTGTTAGGATTTCTACTTCAATAATCATGTTGTGTAGGTCAAACTATTAGCAATATTACCCATTGCAAAATCTTTCTCTTTTTTATCATGATCTACAATAGCGTAATCAATTTTATATGCCGATAAAAACAAACACACATAGGCATAATCACACATAAGCATAATAGTCACATTATCGATTAAACTTACATAAAACAACATGTACAAACGCTTAAGTATAATTGTGGCAGTAACTAATGTACGACATCATGACAATAATATTTTTTTTTAAAAAAAATCAACATAACTTTAATGTGAAAATCAGATTTCACATGTTATTTTCTCTACTTTTTGGGTATGAATAAAGATGCAGAAAAAAACTCATTTAATAATATTCTTGTATCTCTTATTATATTTGCTACCAAAATATAAGAAGTGACCAAACATGAGAAAACTTAATCATATATATATATATATATATTTTATTATATAAATTTTGGTTTTTCAAAGTTATTAATTAACATGATCACGACACATGGAAATTATGTGTTTAAGATTGTGACATGTGTGAATCTATCTCATAATTAAAAATATATAATAAGATAATAAAAAAAAAAACAAATTTTGTTTAAAAAGTAATTATAATTATTATCTAATTATAATTTTCCATTTTTAAAACCCTCAACAAAATATAATTGTAAGAGATTATTTGATACTAATTTTCCTTTAAATATTATGACATTGCTTTAAGTTTTGTCTAAACAATAATCTATTTGTGTGTTGAAATCTAGATATACATAACTATCTAGATTTCATTATTAAGATTTTTTTAAAAAGTAGAACTAACTATTAAATTCTTTTGGTTTAAGTATTTAAAAGAAAAAAATGTTATTTAATACATGTCATAATCTTAAATATATAATCGCCATGTGTCGCGATCATGTTAATTAGTAACTTTGAAAACCAAGCTTTATATAATAAAATGTGAATAATTGTAGCTCTTATTGGTTTATAATTTATAAAAAGAATATAAAATATTTTAATTGGAAAATAGATTATTCATAAAAATATTAGAATTTATTATTCCAAAAAGATTTAATTAGGATTTAAAGAAAGGAAAAACTACTTAAACACTCTTTACAATTTTTTTTCGTTTTTGATGTTAGAATATGACAGCTACTATTAAATATTTTATTTGCTGGTACTTATATTTTTATTAAAGAAGCATACTGTAATAAAATGAATATAGGAGTTTGTCGCTAGATATTTGACCAAATAGGATCGTCTGGTTTCTATAGAACTAATATTTTATTTTTATGTTTTAAAAGAAAAAAATAGAGAAAAATACAACTAAATAATTATTTTTTATTTAAAAATTGCTCTTATCATCTTATTATATATTTTATTAATGATAATTTATCAAATAAAAAAATTTAAAAGAAAAATTACTATCAAATAATATTTTCCAATTACCTTTCTTTAGGATTTTAGAAAAGAAAATCTAGTATTAAATAAATGATTTTACAAATATATTTGGATTTAAGATTTTTAGGAAGGAAATTTTCTAAAAATCCCTATTAAATAATTTTAACAAGGAATTTTTATTTCCTCAAAATAAATTATTTTAAAATTTAATTTTTCAAAAAAATAATTTACTATTTTATTTTTATATATATTTTAATCATAAGATATTCTAAAACATGTCAAAATTTCTGTCAAATAATTATTTGCAATTATATTTTTTTAAGATTTTAGAAATGGAAAATTACTATTAAGTAATATTTATAACTAATTTTTAACGAAAATCAGTTTTAGTATCTTAGTATATTTATTGTTAATTATGATATAGTTTAAAACATATCACAATTATAAATATATAACTTTCACAGGTCACAATTACGTTAATTAGCAACTTTGAAGAATCATCCTCAATATCTATCTTATTAAAGTTGTAGTACTCTTTAGGTTTGTTTGGAAACTTAAATATTAGTAATAAAGAGTTTAATATTGTTTGGTTATAAGTTTAAAGGAGTTGGGCTTTTAAACATTGTTATAATAGAATTGGACTTTTGTTTAATTTATTTTATGTTATGGTTGGTTTTAATCATTTGGCCCATTGTAGTAATTTGTGTTTTAGTTTATATTTTATATAAAGACCATATTCAATTTTATTTATTGTTGACTAAATTAAAAATAACATTAGTTTTTAAGATAATAACAATTTACATTTCAAATAATTTAATACTCAAATATATTTTATCTAAGTATTTTACATTATTCAAATTATCATAAAGACACAAAATATTTGAATAGTTTTAATTAAAATATTAAAATTTTGTTTCGTAACTGAATATTTATCCGAAACACCTATTCCCCCCCAAAATCAGTTTTGCCCCGATTAATATAAAATTAATCCTAGAAATCGTAACCAAACCGTTATCAAATTGGAACCAAAAATTTATCAGATATTAGTCGGTTATTATAATTATTACCAAACTTAACTCAAACCAAAAGAATCGAACCGGACGAAAATCAATTTATATAGATAACAGAACAGATCTTATATCTGTAGAATTAAAAAAACTACGAACATAAAGAATCCAACAAAAG